GAGTACTGAGTAGTATAGAGGACTCGATACTTTTTGACAAGTACTGAGTAAATATCGCGAACACCGAAAAACATCGACGTTTTAAAAACTTGTTTAGGTAAATATTTTTTTTCAATTACATTGAAAAATGTTTAAAAATTACCCCATGGGCATAACGTTCATTTACTTCAATACTGTCATAACTCAAAAAACCGAAAAATTAATATATACTTTGTTCTGGTGATCTACTGGTAATCGCTATGAAATTTTTATACAACATAGAAGAAGAGGTATCAGTCATGTAGACATTTGTCTCGGTTAAAACTTCTTAAATAATTGGAAAAGGAATATCTTGTCATGCCTTCGATAAGACTGGCCCACATAAAAAATTGGTCTTTGCTTTTAACCAGACCCACATATCGACATATATTGAGGTCCATTTGACTCCTACACCTCCTAAATATGGAGTTAATTGCGAAAATTGTGAATAAAAATGGCAAAACCGAGTCAAACGGACCTCAGATTCGGATTTAGTGGGTCGAAATACGTGGTAGCAAGTGGGTCTGGTAAAAGCACATACCAATTGTTTTTTGTGCCGGTTTGGGTTAGAAGGGTGGTCTTCGGCTCGATAACTTGGCAATTCTGCAGAATAACAGAGCCTTCGTTTTCCAATGTATTCTACCTTGGTTTTAAATTCGAAATCCCGCCCCATTCCGAAGAAAAATTTTGTGAAAGGGAGCTTATCAGCTTAAGAGTTTCAAATGAGCCTTTTGCTATAAACATTTGTTTTACAATTTTAAACTTATAGCAAGTTCTTTTCAAAAACTCCGTTAGAAATTCTTGTTAGATCAGACTTCAGCTATTAAAAGCAATGTCTATTCAATTTACAAAAAGAAAGAGGTCATGTGTATATGTAAACAAAGCAATCTGATTTTTGTTAACTTTTCGCGTTTGCCCTAAAAATACTTGGAAGTACGAGTATTATCGATACTTTTTTGCAAATATGAGTACTGGCATCGATTCTTTTTTAGAGGATGATAAATGAGTACTAGTATCGATACTTTACCAAAAAGTTCTATCACTAATCGTTATTCATATACCCACTGTAAGTTCGTGCGCAAGGGCAACCCTAACTTAACTCTAGAGAATATAGTGCAGCGAGCAGAAGCAAGTCGAAACACTGTCAAGAAACAAGGAAAACAACGAAAAGAAAGGAAGAACGAGAGCTCGGCCATTTTTGAGATATAATTGTGGTGTCACGTTAAAGCTAATCAAATAAACGCACATATTTTTAAAGCTTATTGAAATTATTTATTAATTCAAACTGGTTTATACTCGATACAGATAACATTTTCATTTGACGGTGGAATAACACGTCTGTATATTTTTTAAAGTCGAGTTCATTCTTTACACGTTTTCTTGACATCATTGCTTCTGCTATCGGAAGATTCCAGAAAGTTCGACGCCGTTACTTGAAAATTTGCACAGCCCGCCATTTTTGTGCTTGTGTCACGCGAATGCCAAACAATTACTTTTTGAGAAGTGGTCAGCAACAACAGCCAGTTGAAGAAGAAAATAGCAGTATCATGACGGAAAATGTACAACGGGCAGAGCCGGAGCAATTGGCAACGTTAATCGAAGTAATGAGATCACTAAAGACCTCAATAGATGAAATTCGACACAACAGTGAGGAGCAACAGAGGGATCTCAATAATCTTCGTCAGCAAATACTAGCAGACGTATTGCCGTTGCAGACTCGAGAGAATCCCACGCCACCAGTGAACAACAGTGAAACCAGAGTAATGGAAACGGCGCCGCTAAAATTATATGATCTACCCACGTTTTCCGGAAGCGCCGAAGATTGGCCTCTGTTCTATGCCAACTTCAAAGACAGCACAGAAGTCTTCAACTATAACAATAGGCAAAATTTAATGCGGTTGCACAAGTGTTTAGTGGGTGCAGCCAAAGAAGCCGTAGCATCAATGATCTATCCAGAGGGTGTTCAACAAGCAATGGAAGACTGGAATTTAGATTCGGTAGGTCTGACCAATTAATTCGTTGTCAACTAAGTAAGCTGCAAAGTTTCCCAGCAATTTCAGAGAGTAAATTGGAGCAGATCATAGCCTTTTCTACAAATGTTCGTAATGTTGTCGCCTTTTTAAAATCTGCTAAGTGTGAGCAGCATCTCAACAATCCGTTGTTGCTGGAACAAGTGGTTAGTAAATTGCCAGCAAGTAAGCAGTATGAGTGGGCACGTCAAGCCATGACCATTAAGCCTTACCCAACAATCAACGACTTCGCGATTTGGTTAACTGAGTTAGCTCGAGTCGTTACTACAATATCAACAACGTCAACTTCGATTACAAAAGCTAATGCTCAACCGCCACGACGAGTTATGCATGTCAACGAGAACACTACTGAGAAGCCGATGGAATGTTATTGTTGCGATAGGGCTCATGCGATGGCCAACTGTCAGAGGTTCCATCATTCTCTTAGTGTGAAAGATCGGTGGGATATAATCAAGAAAGAGAAGTTATGCTTTGCTTGCCTACGCAAAGGTCATAATGTATCAAGCTGTCGCTCGAAGAAACCATGTGGGGTTGGTGAATGTCGACGTTTCCATCATGCCAGCCTACATGAGGTTAGGGTGGAACCAACGCCACCAAGTGAATCAGCACAGCCAGTTTTAAATTGCTCGACACCCAACGTGAACTCTAGCCACCTATTTAAAGTGTTGCCGGTCAATGTGTATGGGCCAAATGGGAAGCTTGAAATTTTTGCCATGGTCGATGAGGGATCGACCATATCAATGATAGACGAAGGTGTGGCGAACAAATTGGGGCTGAAGGGACAGGCACACACCTTAACCCTTCAGTGGTACGACGAAAGAATTAAGACTGAACAGTCACGCAAGGTTAACGTAAAAATAGAAAATCGTAGTGACAAGGAGAGGTTCACTATGAAAAATGTACACACGGTGAAGCAGTTGAATTTGCCGACACAGTCTTTTAAGAGATCCGAATTTAGTTATTTTGATTCGTTACCGATCGAAGAGTACATCAACGTACAACCAGCTATGCTTCTCGGCTTGGACAACGCGCATTTGACGGCCACGATGGCTACGGTTCAGGCGAGAGAAGACAGTCCATTAGCCATAAAAACAAAACTGGGGTGGATTGCCTACGGTCCTACCAAATTTTCATGCACGCCATTGTCAGTAGTTTTGCTTATCCACGAAATTAATCCGTCAAAAGAGTTGCATCAATTAGTTGATGAGTATTTCGCCACTGATAAATTCGGAACGGGGCCAGTTCAACTGTCAATTGAAAGTGAAGATGTCAAGCGAGCTCGAAATATTATGCAAACTACGACAAGGTTGGGCGATAGGGCTTACGAAACGGGTTTGTTGTGGAGTCGGGATACAATAAATTTGCCTGAAAGTTACGAAGCTGCCGTGAAACGCCTATATGGAATTGAAAGAAAGATGAAAGGTGATACGGAGTTTGCACAAAAATACCGACAAGAGATGGAAAAATATTTCGATAAAGGGTATGCTAAAGTTTTGTCAGCCGAGGAGATAGCCGATACCAGCCAGCCAATGTGGTACCTTCCTCATTTTGCCGTGCAGAGTCCGTACAAACCAGACAAATTGAGAATCGTCTTCGATGCTGCCGCAAAGGTCCAAAACACTTCGTTGAATTCCTGTCTTCTAAAAGGGCCTGAACAAGCAAAGTCGCTTCAAAACATTTTGTTCCGGTTTCGTCAGGGCGCTATTGGTGTGGCCGCTGATATTAAAGAAATGTTTTCGCGAGTTAAGATCCGTAAGGAAGACCAAAATGCGCAGCGATTTTTATGGCGTAGAGACTCGAGCCTAGCTATACAACAGTGTTGCATGACGTCGATGATTTTCGGAGCCGCATGTTCGCCCTGTTGTGCAGAGTTTATCAAGAACCACAACGCTCTTCGATTTGAGAAACAGTTTCCGGAGGCGGTAAGCGCAATTGTCGAGAGACATTATGTCGATGACTTTGTATGCAGTTTTGATGATCCCGAACTAGCCATCAGAACTTGTCGTGAAGTCGTCTCCATACATGCGGAGGCCGGATTTGAATTACGGAATGAAGGGTGCCGCAAAATATGACAACGTGAGTATGGAAAAGCAAGCCATGTCAGAAAAGGTGTTGGGCATATTTTGGAATGTGCGCAATGACACGTTTGAGTTCCATACTCAATTTCATCGAATCCCACAGGAGGTGCTAACTATGACTAGAGTGCCAACGAAGAGGGAGTTCTTGGGTATTATTATGTCAGTTTTGACCCATTCGGGCTGCTCTCTGAGGTTACGGCAGCTTCCAAAATATTGATGCAAGAGGTGTGGCGTAGTAACGTCGATTGGGACGACGCAATCACAGATGAGGTACACGACAAATGGGTAACTTGGTGGCGCGGATTCCACAAATTTAAGCAAGCTAAAGTGCCACGTCAATATTCTTCGTTCATGGGCTCAGCCAGAGACGTACAGTTACACATGTTTGTGGATGCTAGTCAGATGTTATTTGCTGCAGTTGGGTATTTCCGCATTGCAACTAGAGACGGATGGGATGTCGCATTCGTGGCCGCAAAAACACGTAACACGCCTTTAAGGTTGATGTCAGTTCCCAGACTAGAATTACAAGCCGCTGTTTTAGGCACGCGTCTAAGCCAAATGATTTGCAACAATCACGATGTTATTATAACGAGTGTAACCTTTTGGACCGATTCCAGAACCGTGTGGCACTGGATACAGTCAACAAATAGAAAGTACAAGGCCTTCGTTGGACACAGAATTGCCGAAATCGTAGGAACTACTAATCCGTCACAATGGCGTTGGATCCCAACAGAATTTAATGTGGCGGATGATGCCACTCGTCCAAAACCGCCAGCCAAATTTAATTGCAATAGTCGATGGTTAAAGGGACCAGATTTTTTAAGACAGGAAGAAATGACATGGCCAATATTCGACAGTGGGTCGCCACCTGATACGTCAGCAGAGGAAGTACAACCACAACTGTTAGTTCAAAAGCCGTCTAACAGATTAATCGACTATAACAAGTTTTCATCATACATAAAAGTTAAGAATACCGTTGCCTGGGTGCTACGTATTAAAAACCTCTTATTGCGGTCACGGAACAGCGACCAAACACACGAGCAGATGAGAGGATCGTTAACAGCCGCGGAAGTAGACACGGCCGAAAAATTAATTTGTCATTTGGTACAACAAGAATGATTTTCCAAAGAAATCGAAAGTCTTAAATCGGAGCAACGAGTAACAAAAGATAGTCCGTTGTACTCACTGTCGCCATATTTATCAGAAGATGGGTTAATTCGAGTGCATGGAAGGATTGATGAAGCGATATATTTGCCATTTAGTGCCAGACGTCCAATTCTTTTGCCCCAGCAACACGCTATTTCTTTTTTTATAATACAACATTTTCACAGGAAAAATCTCCATCAAAATCGAGCAGTAATAATTAACGAGTCGCGCCAGAGGTTCTGGATAATTCAAGTGCGTGCAGTGCTGAAGACGGTAGAGAAGAATTGTTCGATATGTCAACTCGATCGGGCTAAACCGGTGCCACCATTGATGGGTCCATTGCCGCAGGATCGCGTTACGCCCTACGTGCGCCCCTTTACCTACACAGGCGTAGATTTATTCGGGCCACTAACATTTACGATTGGACGCCGGCATGAGAAGCGATGGGGTGTTATCTTCACCTGCCTGACGGTAAGAGCAGTACACATTGAGCTCGCAGCAGACCTGTCTACTGATGCGTTTCTGATTTGCCTAAGGAATTTCATTAACCGTCGTGGTACACCAGTGCGCATTAGAAGTGATAATGGCACAAATTTCTTGGGGGCTCAAAAGGAGTTGAAACAGTGCGAACAACTACTAGACGTTCAACAAATAGAGGGCGAGGCTGTTAAACGAGGCGTGGAGTGGGTATTCAATTGCCCAGCTAACCCGAGCTCAGGTGGATGTTGGGAGCGTTTGATCCGTATCGTAAAAAGATTGCTCCTCAAGACACTACATGAAGTCACACCGAGATTAGAAACGTTGCAAAGCGTCCTGATTGAATCAGAAAATATTATTAATTCTCGTCCATTGACCGATATTCCGCTCACTACGTTAGAAGACGAGCCATTGACACCTAACCATTTTTTGTTGGGATGTGTCAATTCCACGCAAACACCACAGCCTGTTGATGTAAAAATTTGTCTAAGGAAGCAGTGGCGCATTGCGCAAAATTTGAAGGACCGCTTGTGGAAGCGATGGACCGTAGAGTTTTTACCACAGTTGCTTCATAGGCAGAAGTGGCATAAGGCAACGAAATGTCTACAGGTGGATGATATAGACATCATTTGTGACCCTGCTTTGCCAAGGGGTCGTTGGCAAAAGGGAATCGTCGTCAAGTTGTATCCGGCTAAAGATGGGCAAGTGCGTTTTGTAGACGTAAAGACATCTACGGGAGTACTTCGCCGTCCCGCAACCAAATTAGCAGTTTTGGAAGTTCGTGAATCCTAAAGTGATTCACGGGGGGTGGGATGTAAGTTCGTGCGCAAGGGCAACCCTAACTTAACTCTAGCGAATATAGTGCAGCGAGCAGAAGCAAGTCGAAACACTGTCAAGAAACAAGGAAAACAACGAAAAGAAAGGAAGAACGAGAGCTCGGCCATTTTTGAGATATAATTGTGGTGTCACGTTAAAGCTAATCAAATAAACGCACATATTTTTAAAGCTTATTGAAATTATTTATTAATTCAAACTGGTTTATACTCGATACAGATAACATCTTCATTTGACCGTGGAATAACACGTCTGTATATTTTTTAAAGTCGAGTTCATTCTTTACACCCACATATGTACATATATATATTACATTTCATATCAATTCAAGTCTATTACATGCGCCCCATGCTTTTCATTTTCAATCTCATAAATTGTTTATAATGACTTTTGTTAAAATTTCAAAATCAAATGTTATCAAAACAAATTCTGGGACTGAGAAATATAATTTTCTACTTTTTAGTCCATTTATAAAAGCGCGGTATATTAAAAAGTTTTTTTTTCTAGTTATTTATTCTTAAATCTGGACGCTTGTGATTCGAATCGGTGAGCACATATGCAGATGGTTTCTGCGGTTATAACTTTGCGTAGAAAAACTAAATCTAAAAGAAATTGCACTAAGATTTTCAAAGGTATTTTTCAACGCATTTCATGGGACTGAGAAATATTATTTCTACTTTTTAGTCCATATATAAAAGCGTGGTATGTTAAAAAGTTTTTTATTTTATTTATTTTCTACCTTTTAGTCTTGTCTGTTTTGCAATAGAAATTAAAATAATTCAACGATATTTATAGATTGGTGCACACACATGCATATTTGTATGTACATTAGACTGCAACACTCCCCATACAAAGAAAAATCGGTACTGTTTTTCCACCGGAATTATAAAATCTATTATATTTTAAGACCTTCACCGAAATATTTGGGAAAAATATTAAGATTTACGTGAGCTGGACCGATTTGAAAATACCTCCAAAAATTTAGTTTTTTGTGAATAAAAACAGTTTTTTAAGTATTTTTTGCTAAAAATCACGTTAGGTGACAAAAGAATTTAAGCTTAAAAAATTTCCATACAAATATTTAAAAAGAGTTTTCAACGGAATCGCAATAATGAGATTTTGAGATGAGATGAGATAAAAATATTCAAACAATTTTTTAACGGAATCATAATAATAAAATGTTTTATGCTGTTTTTCAACTTTATTCAAAGACTGGCTAAAAACTTGAATAACTCAGCCCAAACTCTACCGATTGAGACATATGAGGTATCATTGGAAAGGAATTTTCTCACCCTTTTTATTTCTTTGCAAACAAGCTCAATTAAAGCATGAACGAGAAAGGTAAGACAAACGAACCTCATTCCATGTTGAGCTAAGATGTGATGGTATTTGATAAAGAAAAAATTGGGACGTGAATGAGTTTTTTTACAAAGAAATAAAAAGGGTGAGAAAATGTTGTTCCACTGATACCTCACAAGTCTATATCGGTATAGTTTTGGCCCCGTTTTTTAAGTTTTTCTTAAACAAATCTTAGAAAAAAGTTAAAAAAACAGCATCAAAAATTTTATTAGATATTATGATTCCGTTAAAAAAATTTTTGAGTATTTGTATGCAGATTTTTAAAGCTTAAACAGTTTTGTCATCTGAGAGGATTTTTTTCAAAAGATCTTTTAAGAAACTATTTTTATTGATGTAATGTGGAACTATTTTCCGTCATCCCTTGTCAAATTTGGTTTGGAGACAAACCGGTTTCGGCGTTGTGCCATCTTCAGTGTAATTTTTCGTTCTGAATAGTTTCTGTTTGTCCGTCACTATTTATAGCCGTGCTAAATCGCCATTGGTTCTTAGTTAGGTACGTTTCAGCGGATTATATTATTTCGTTCAACCATTGGTTTTTATTCTGTGCATACCAGAGATTGGCAAACGAAGCTGATTTTGTGACTATAAAGCTGATGCCAGATAAAACTTTGTAGCTTTGCGTGACATTTATAACTTTGCCAGCAAAGCGCCAGACGCAAAAGGTATGCCACAATGAACGCCAAGAAAACAATTTTGTACCGCTTTTTTACTCGTCAAAGTTGCTGTGGATTTTATATATTTTGCTTTAAAATTATCAGCAATGTAATTAAGTTTCATGTTTCTGCATGAAAACTCGAGTTTGGACGAAACAAAATAAATATTAAACCGGCTGATTGTCAAAGCGCGTAAAAAGGTGGGAGTTGGTCAAGAATATATATATATATATAAGATTGCGCCAATCGAGCTGGGAGCAACTGGCCGTGACGTCAATAAATACCAGAATGAGAGAGCAAGACGAACTTGACAAGAAAAAGATGAAGCATCGAACAAAAGCAGTATTGCCAAGTTTTGAATTTGAAAACGCACCAAATTTTTATTGGTGTATTTTATGGACTTTATATACATACATAATTTTATTGTAAGGATGCCGATTAAAATTAATAAAAATCAATGTTTCTTGCACGACGGTCGATTTATTCTGCCATGATTGAAGGTGCTGCCACATATTTTGTTGTCGA